TTATTACCTCTGTGCTCAGACAAGTTCTTGACGCTTTGTAGCAGTTCCTCTCTGTGAGCAACATTCTTGGGGCCTTTGTGCAAACTGGTATCCACACTCACTGTAATAGGTTGTACAAGGTAGGATGATTAGCAGAATTCACAGTTATATATTTCAATGTAATAATTGTTAAAAGGTCAAATGGGACTCATCACATGCTGTTACATCACATGCCTAGATTCCAGGTTCAGCCAATCTGATACTTTTGGTTTTAAAATGAAAAGTTTCCTACATGTGGTAATATTCCCTTTGTGTGCCAAGTTAGAAAATGTTAATACTCATTAGTTGAACATTTATGAAAGACAAACAATATTTACTTCTTTGATTGAGCAGGGATTTTCAAATTGCTTAATGAAATGTGAGAATTTTTAGTACAAATACAATCCAATGTTATACTTTCATGTATCCAGAAAAAAAGTTTTCTTGGAAATAACAACACATTGCCATTCATCACCAGGTGACATGATGTCCAAACCTTGGTCAAAATTAATATATATATATAAGCTTCTCTTCTCTGTAAGTTTCTAGTCTGTGAGAACTAGTTATGGAAATTGAGACTGGTGGTTTCTTCTAATAACTGCGTAATTTAATTTTCTCAACAATTTAGATGGTATATTCCCTGACCTATATGATAAATTTTTAAATAATTAAAATTTCCAATGCAATTAGTTTATTATTATTATTATTATTATTATTATTATTATTATTATTATTTGAAGGTCCAACACTCACCTTATCCTTTTAATGTTCATTGATCATATTTGACTTATCTGAAATTTTATCACAATATTGAGTTTGAAAAAAAAGGACCATTTTGAAGGTAATGGAAATATTGAAATTAATCTTATGACAATGTTACTTCCCTAGATGGATAAAATTGAGCAACAGTTTAAATAAATTAAAATATTCCAACAAAACATTTGTATATTTATAAATAATACACTGACCTAAAGTATGAAGTGACTTGTTGTGTTCTTAATCTTAAAAAAAAAAAGGAAAAAGCAGTAGACCATTCAAAGAATGTCTGTCACTCAAAACCATCAGTTGTCTGTTTTTTAAGTAAACTAACTCTCCAATTTTGCTTCACACATCATAATGGCTAGATATTTTTTAACCTGATTATTAACTTATGAAATCAGTAAATGACATAACTTCATATTTCTAACTTTGGTTTGTATGTGTTCTATAGAGTATGCACATTTTATGGAAAGGAATAATTATTGTCAAGTTTTGTTCCCTCTTGATTGCCTTTTTATTTGTGTAAAAAAGCAGGAAGTGACTATGCAGTAGTTAAACTCAACAATTTGTATTCTGATAAAATTTTTCTAAATCAAATGTAAGTGTGTGTTTGTACTTAAGAATATGCAGATTTGGGAGGGAAGAATTTTACTTTATATATTTGTTTCCTCCCTATTGTCTTTGTACCTGGGTAAAAAAGCAGGAAGTGAGTCTGTTGTGGAAGTGAAACTGAGCAATTTGTATTCTGGTCACTTGGAGTCTGTGACTTGATTTGTTGCTCTCGGGTTGTTCAAAGGTGGGGGCACCAGTAGCTGTCTTCATAACAGGAATATTTCATTCCCCAGGTGTAGTTCTGGTATGCTTGTGAAGTTGGAGTTGCATGAGCCTCCTCATTTACTTTCCTGTTGTTTTCAAATGAACTTTGCCTTTTTATTGATGTGGGAAAAATTGGATTTGCTTTGTTTTAAAAATGCCAAAAGAAAACACTCTTCAGAAAGGTTTTGGAAGTAGCACCAATTTCAAGCAAACCTTTTGAAGTGAGTTTTCATGTGCATTGTGCATTCCTGCACAGAGAGGCTTAGATTTTTACATGGTTAGATAAAAAAAAAATTAATAAAAGGGTATATGATTTAATAGTTATTTTATATTTTTTCTTGGGTTTGTATTGTGCATGCTAAAACTCTTGTACAAAAACTTCCTAAAAAGATTCTGTATATTTGGCTTATGCTAATCATACTCATTAACATGAGAAATCATTTAAAAATGTGATGAGTTTGGGAAAAGTGCTATCTTTTAGAGGGATTTTTGTAGAATGACAAATAGTTTTCACCAGGTATGAAACTTATACAATGTTTGTCATAAAAAGAAAAAAAAAATGTTCACTTCCGTTTGCTGAATTTGAGAAAAAGTAAAAGATAAATTGTACTGACCTTGGAAGTGTTATTACTTAAATGATAAACTACCAGGGTTGCGAAATTCTCACACATACTACTTCTGTATTCTGCAAGTTTTCATTAAGTATGTTTTGAAGTTTAGAAATGTGCACTTCAATCTTTCGTCATAATGTGGGTTTTAAATTTTAGTTTAAGCATCAGCAAAGAAAAAATCAACAAAACTTGGTGCCTAAAACATTTACAGAAGCCAATTGTATGTAAGCAATTTTTATATTGAATATGAGTTATTTGCATGCCAAGATGATTTTCACTTAAGAATAAATGAATTTGAGCCTTGTCATATTTTCAAAGGTCATGTTCATCACCTTATGTTCAGATTTGTAAAAAAAAAAATGAAAAAAAGGAAGAAAGAAAAGAAAGAAAGAAAAGAGATTGATGAAGAACTTCACTTTTTCATGTCAAGGTTGAATTCAATTGTGCAGTGGTGTGATACACATCTTACTTATTTTGTTCCCATACTCTAAAACACATCAAGATTATCCCACTGCTATTGTATACAAATACCTCAGACACTTAACAAGTTAAACAAATTAATGAGCTTCTTCTTATGTTTTCTGTATGGGGCCCTAAAGCTGCAGTTAATTTGCCTGTTAGTTTGTACACTGTATTTCTCTTGCACACACTTCATTTGTACTTCAGATTTACCTGTTATAGTTAAATTCCTATGTTACGATATACAGTTTTTAAGGGTAACAAGAAGGAATAAAGGGTATGGAGGATTGTGTGAATATAGAAAAACATATTTGCTCACGTTCACTTGCATTCTCACATTCACACATGCTCGCATGAATATGTAGGTAGTAAAATTAATATATATATCTCTGGCGTGTAAGTTGGTACAGCCTGGTACTGCTGTCTGCTTCCTAGGTAAGCACATTTCATCTTCTCCACTGAAATTAAACCTTTTTGTCATAAATTCTCTAAGTGACCAAGCATATAACTGATAGGTGTTGCATGACCTTTGGTGGAAGGGGGATTGAGCATAATGAGAAAATAATGAGTTTCAGTAATTTCTGTTTCAAGTGGTTGTAATTGATTAAGATAGCTATTACTTTACAGGTACGTATTTATCTCTGTATTTTTAACAAGACACATTTTTATTGAGTATTTGTATGCATAGTGGTAGGTGTACCATTACAAGACAACTTGTTTGGCAACATTGAGCTCAAGGTAATATGACCTTGAAAAAGGGGTAGGAGCAAGAACAGACTTTAATTGTTTTATTCATTTAAGTATATGTTTTGTTCCCTTTGGGCAGTTTTTCAATTTTTACTTCTTCTCTGTGTTAAGGATTTATTTCAGAGCAACGTCTTTTTCCTAGGGGTCAATCTTCAAAGTGTTATCTATGTGTTGCAGCAGTTCTGTAGTCCTTGGGGAGTACAAATTAGAATAACTTTTTATTCTATGGACAGAAAGCTCAACTTTTTAGTACACGCCACCATATTGTCACGGCAGTTAAGATAACATCTGTGGGCTGACAAATGAAACCTCCTTTCCATTGTCTTAAATATATATAAAGAATTATTATGACCCTTCAGAGATTGGTTCCCATGTCAGGTTCCCAGAAAATTATTACCTTCAAAGTATTAGTTTTTTCCCAATTTTGTGGCTTTTTTTTTTAAGATCTCACTATTATAAATTGTTCTTTTAGTTTTGGCCAGTCATATGTCATTGTCATCCTGTGAGTAAATTTGTGTCATTTCATTTGGTAATGGGAGCAAGGATCAAGGGTCAGTTCTTAGGCCTGAAACTCAGAGAAACCATCTGATCTAACGAACTGAAGGACTTCATTTCATAATCAAATTTTACTAAATGCATCTATGTTCGTTTTAACACAAAAGGCATTGGTCAACAGTTCATGTAAGGGGTCATTTAAATGGTCACTCAAGGTCATACTCCTCTCACTTTTGTAGTTTTTTAGTCTGGTAAATGTTAGTCAACATGTGAAATAGAACTTAAAGCTCAAAAGAAACCTTCGAGACAGTTGATGGATGAAACACAATAGATGTTGTATGACGTTTGATAATGCGTGAGAAAGTTAGGCAGTATAGGTTGAACATATGCCTGAAAAGATAGATGATCCCTCTGTGCAGTGGACTGTTAATCTATCTTTCCAAATTATTTTAACAGCCCAAGTCATGCAAAATATCCCTCTCTCCCCCCTCCCCCCACCCTCACAAATGCCATATATCTTGCGTGTCCTCAAGACTCGGTGTCAGACTGTGGTCCAGTGATTTGTCAGTGGAAATAAGCAGCCTCTCATACACTGTCATAATGTGACATATATACTCATGCACAGCAGCATGATAGATATGACAGCAGAGACCAGGGGTTGTTTTTCAACCTCTTTGCACAGACAAAAAATTGCTGTCATATTTGGATCATAGTTCTAATAAGATTTAATAACATTATATCTTGAAATACCCATTTATTCAAATCATATACTGTTTCTACAACTGTCATGTTTTAAGTAAAATTTAGTGTTTCCCAACATGGACACCATGAAGTGCCAATATTTTGACACTGTTAAATCCCTTAGATATGTTGTATAGTGATCAACTAGTTTTACTACAAATGAGGACAGCTTATTGATGTTTGAGTGTTACTTCTATTTGGTTTCTGTAGAACTGCACACAGAGCTATGTAAGTGACAGTCACTGTTTCATTCTTTGTGATAAGCAAAACTTTGTAACGTAAAACCTGCTGGTTAATCTGTAATCCATTTGTTATTATTATTTTTTTAATTTGATAAATGTTTATTTATTTCAGACCTGCCCACTATGCAGATGATGGATGATGCCAGCAGTGACTCTGCAGTGTCTTCCATGGGAAGTTCCCCATACCAGGTATGTTGTACTAGTTTGGTCAGATGCACACATTAAGAGAGTACTTCTCAATAGACAAGTCTTTTTTCCCCAAAATGAACTTATTTCCAGTACACATTTTATTTGAAGAAACAGAACATTTTGTCAGGTGTAAGTATTGATTTAGCAGCATATTTGGATGTGGTAAAATTTAAAAGAAATAAAGATTTTAAAGGACATCTAAAAAACTTTCATCAAGCCCAGTTAGATAGCTTTAAAATAGAAATGGCTAATAATTTGAATATTATTTCTTTGTATTGCAGGAGTGGACCGACAGCTCTATTGGTTCCACCTCTCCATTCGACACACTGGAGGGCGCCACTGGTGGCATGCATCAAGGAGGTGCCACAGGCTTCACCAAACCAAAGTTTGAGTACTATGATAACAGCTGCACCTACAGCATGGACCCAGGCTATCAGGATTCCCTCCATACCAACTACTCTGGCTCAGACAATGGGACAAGCTACCCTCAGTTCACTCCTGCCAGCAAGAAACACATTCATCATAACCACACATATCCCCTCCAGCCAGGCCAGCAACCCAAAGAACAGAAGAAGCCAGACCGCGACAAGGGCACACGCACCATGTTCAGCCGTGATGAGAAGCGGGCCAAGGCAATGCGCATTCCATTCTCCGTGGCTGATATTGTTAACTCTGCCGTGGAAGATTTCAACGAGATGCTGCAGAAATATGCTTTGACTGAAGCACAGCTCCAGCTTGTCCGTGACATCAGACGCAGAGGCAAAAACAAGGTGGCTGCACAGAATTGTCGCAAACGCAAGATGGAGATCATTTTCACCTTAGACGATGAAGTCAAAGCCATGCAACAGGAGAGAGACAGATTGCAGAAGGAGAGACAAGAGATGGAAAAGGAACACCTGGAATTCAAGAACAAGTTCAGCCACCTTTACATGGAGGTTTTCAGGTCTCTGAGGGATGAAAACGGCCGGCCGTACAACCCACAAGAATACTCGCTTCAGCAAACTGCCGATGGGAACGTCTTCTTGATCCCGCGGAATTCCACCAGCAGCGACCACACAGAGAAGGCACAAAAGAAAAGAAAATCCAAGAAGCAATGAACTGTATGAATGTATTGACAGATGAACAGGGATGCAGATTGGAAATTGACCTGTGCTTCATCTTAGAAAAGAAAGGGCAGTAAAACTACCCACTAATAAGAATTGACTTCACATTGAGTATCACTTTGGTGTGGATGTGACTTCCTACTTGAGGTTCAATATTAAGCAATTGCTACTGTACTGGATTCACATTTTCTTGTAATACAGATTTTAGAAGAACAATATGTTAATCCATGAATAACTGCTATTTAAATTACAACCCACTTTTGCTGTGCCCACCAGAAAAAAGATACTTCTTATTGTCTTCAGTGACAGGTTATTCAATTGTTGTAAATGTTTATGTATTGATTCTGCTGTGCAGATTTATTGCTACTTTAAAGAAATAAAAATGCAATTTTGCTTCTGTAGGTCCTAATTAAAATAACACTGCTGTTTCTTTTGAAATGGTGACAGGCTTTTTGTTGAAATGGAGGTCATCCCTTAAAAATGACAGTCTGTTATCTCTGGATACTGAAGAAAAATATTACTGACTAGTTAGAAACAAAATGGACTAACAACATCATTAATTGGTTTTTGAAACACCAAGTATTTTTGGCAGCTGACTTGGTTAGATTAGTTGTGTACAGTTAAAGCATCCATGACACTGATATTTACTGTATTTGCTGTCTCTTTTACCCAATACATAGACTGCAGTTATCACTTATGCTTTTGCAAAGTGTCACATAATTTGAAAACAAAATATGTAATAAAGAGGTACAGGCCATGTGCCTTATATACAAGTTATTGTCAAGTAGTAACATGCTATACTATATGGTATTACAACCTGTCCAATTTGTTTAGGCTTTAATATAGGGGGTTTGTTCTTTAATAACCTCTTTTGATTTTTGTTATATTGCAGATATGTATTCCAAGAATAAGGGTTAGTTATTATTATTGTAGAGATTTCATATAATGGGATCTATATAAGTGAGTACATTTGTATCTGTTGTTGTATTTACATTTTATTTGTTTTCTCTTTTTCATTTCATGGTAAATGCACTGATGTATTAGATATTTGGCTATATTGCTGTATTCAGAAACTTATAGCTTTGAATGGATGCCTTTTACTGATATGGTACTAAGTGTTTCATTTATTAATAAGTTGCATTCAGAGACTTAAACTGATGTAATATTGCTACGATAAGTGTAAATCACGAATCTATATCAATTGGAATGATAATTCTCCTTTCAGTTTTGCCTAGTTTTCTATGGTCAGTTCAGATGTTTTTCATGTGGCCAGCAAGTTACTGCTGGTTTGTACGTGCATGGATCTTTTCAGGCAGTTGTTAAGAATAAGTAAGAATTAGAATTGTTTGCTTGTTTTACATTTGTTTGAAAGAAAAGTATTCCTCTTATCTTTTTTGTGGCACTACTAGGTTCTTATGTTAATTTCAAGTGGAGGAGTTATGAAAAAAATGTCACTGGCTTAACTTTCCTTTAACATTGAGGAACTTTGCAAAGAAGTTGAAATTGAGAAAGAGTATCGTCATGAATTGTTCTTTACAACATTTTCAAAGTGTAAATAAGGTGTTATTTGTATTGCTGATAAAATATTTTCAATAAAAAATTATTAAAACTATTCGTATGTTTGTTTTTAAATATGATAGTAAATATGATTTACCTACAGCTGTACAATGTGGATGAAAAGTACCTTATTGAAGGGAAAACAATGGAGGAAAGTAAACAGGTTTTTGCGAAAGTGTTAACCTTAAATTTCAGAGATGATATTGTATGTATAGGATTGGGAGATTCTACTAATTGCAACCCTATGCCATAATGTTAAGAGGTTTCAATTATAATAATAATAATGCACACTTTACAACTTGTTCAAGGGGGCTTAGAGACCATTCGTACTAACTTTGGATCGAACTATCTCCGAGGGGATTCTCGCTTAGGCCCCTATTTCACACAGACCACGAATCCCACGAATCGCCAGGAATTGACAAATTTCAGGTTTCGTGAGATTTTGCCAATTTTCTGGTCTAATTCGACACGCTCACGATTCAGTTACGATACAGGTACGATAGTGTTATGAATATTCGTGGGATTCGGCTGGAATCGAGATTTTGCCAATTTTCTGGTCTAATTCGACACGCTCACGATTCAGTTACGATACAGGTACGATAGTGTTATGAATATTCGTGGGATTCGGCTGGAATCGTGAGATTTTGCCAATTTTCTGGTCTAATTCGACACGCTATACGATTCAGTTACGAAACAGGTGCGATAGTGTTACGAATATTCGTGGGATTCGGCTGGAATCGCACGAACATTGTCCAGAAATTCACTACGATTTTTTGGAATCGGGAGTTCGTGGCCAGGACTTTGAACAGCTCAAACTTTTTGCCACGAATTCCCGATTGATCAAGAATTGCAAGAACTAACTACGATTATATACGAAACTGTTAAGAACTTCACGACCTGATAACGATTCAACCACGAAACCTGAAATTTTCAATTCCTGGCGATTCGTGGGATTCGTGGTCTGTGTGAAATAGGGGCATCAAAGTTTTTACCACCAATTCCTGTTGGTCAAGAAGTGCAAGAACTGACTACGAATATATACGAATCTGTTAAGAACTTCACGTACTGATTACGATTCAACCACGAATCGTGAAATTTGTAAATTCATGGCCATTCGTGGGATTCATGGTCTATGTGAAATAGGGGCATTTGGCGGCTTATAATTAGATGTCTGCCACGCCTGCTGAGGCCGATGAGGGTAATTAACTATCGTTTAAGCCCCCTTTACACTGGACGGCCATGAATTTTTTTGTGCGGCCATGAAACTGGCATCGCTGTGGTCATAGTAAGGAGGCACAAGCATCGCTTTGGTTGCAGAATGAATGCTCAATGACTTGCCAGTTGTCGACAAGTAAAGCATTATTATTTTTTTAAATCTCAAACGGGGCCGTGCTAAGGGACGCGGAGAGGGCGCCGTCAAAAGTGAAGGGGGCTTTAACAGCTTTAGTGGGCGTCCCAGACATCTAAGCCGCTTGGGCTGAAAGCAATATATCGAGGGAACAACAGTGTACGCAGCTATAAATGCATATTACAGACATGAGCTTTTTCCGCGGAATTCCGCGTCTTTTAATTCAATTTTAAGGCGGCCTCGGACCCCCGGCCAGTTAGGTTTTGGGTCCCATGATAAATAAGGCTTTTTTTTTAATTCTAGGCTCATGTCTGCTACAAACCATACACCGTTAGATCCAATAATAAGGGGAAAGCTGAAGAAAGAGAGCACAAGGAAATTGACAACATTGCATTGAAGTAGTATGGTTATGGGTTTTATTGTTGGCTTTGGTATACAATACAGTATTTTCAGGAAATGTCCATATAATCGTTGTTGTCTAAATTTGATGGTCCAGAATTGCTCTCTTGGAGCTAAAAAAAAACGAAATTTCACATACTAATTGAATATAATACTCATCGAACGTCTTTATAGAACTAAATAATATTTAGAACGAAAGGTATTTTTTTTAAAAAACTTGTTCACTTTTTTGTGAGAGCCGCAGAAAACTTCTGTCAGGTTAACAACGTTAGTGACCAGAATTTTAGAAAGGAACCCTTCTTTCCTACAAATAACCAGATAACCAGCCCCCCCCCCCCCCTCTCCCCTTCGCCCATTCCTCTCTGACAAATATTTTCTTGGCCTACGACCCTGGAATCTAAGATAGAAATTTAGAAAAATCATTCCTTGATTTTAAATTACTTTCTAGACCAGGGCGCACCTGTAGGATTCGCCCGGGGGTTCAACTAGAGCAGTGCTTTTTAAAACTCTTTTTGACAGCTATCACACCCTATGATTTTATCGCAACTTAAATGTGTCTATCGGTATTTGGATTTAAAGGTATGTGGATTTAAGTCGGTTTAACGGGGCATCGTTGCTACATGCCTGATGCCTGTTGAACAAGAAAGTACAGTAGATTTAGGTTTTGTTCTGCAAAGTCTTATTTAAAAAAATAGGACTTTACAAATAATATAAAAGGTAATAATATAAAAGGTAAAAAGATTGGCCACGTAATCTTGTAAAGCAACCGTAGCCTACAATGCTAAGGAAGTGTCGCACGTTAAAAAGTTTTACTTAAGCGGTGAGTCGAAATAAATTAAACGATTTTGGCACCTAAAAGTAATTTTGTTTAAGAGATTTAAAAATCTATTTTCATAGGCTTTTGATCGAATATAATATATGTACAGGGCATCAAACTGACGCTCATTGTTCCAAGATTCACAGAGATGTATCATCGTTGCTAATTCTAGCACCATAAATGGCTGCCATCCTTTAAAATAAAAAATGTACAACTGGGGTTAGTTGGCCCTCTTGACTCGGGGCAAGTTGGACCCTCATATTACCCACAAACCTTTGCGCGCAACAGAGATAGAGAAGCACAGCACACGAGCTAGAGACCATTGTTGAAACAAACTCATTGGTTTAAACTGAATTCGTTACTTTCTTTTAAAATGAGAATGTATTATTCGTTTTCATTCATTAAAAACTGCTTTATATCATTATTAATATATTCCTTATTAAAACAAAACAAATTTTATTGATAGATATTTTAGTACTTGCAACACATACAACGTGACGTACGGAAACCTTAATAAATCTGCCTCATTTGAACTATTTATTCATCAAAGATTCTCAAAAATTAATTTAATAAATTAAAAATGTGTAAAAATATATTTCATGGCGTTTACATGGGATACTTACTTCATTTTCGTATAGGGTGCCAACTTGCCCCTGACGTCAACTGCGTTTTTTGCCATATTGTGAGATATCTGGCATTATATTTGAAAAATAATGACATTGCATACTTAGTTTAGTTCATGGGGCTTACTTTGAAACAGGTTTTGTTACTCTAACTCATTCCTAGTTGGCTCTTCAAGCACTGCGCTGGGCCGGGCGAATTATTATTACGTAAATTACAACAGACATGTCTCATTTTGTTTGAGGAATTGCCTTTGGGATCATTTGGAAAGAGAGGCGAATCCATAGGCCCTATGGTCTTACAGATAACTGATCAAATCAAATTTATTTGTGAGCTAATTGCACTATAGAATAGATCTCTAATTGGTTGTTTAGACCGAAATAGTTAGTTTGATACCTATTAACATTGTCATGTTTTAACATGGAATGCTTTGTCTCACTCTGAACTTGGGCTAATCAATGGGTTGTATGCATAGCTTAAGTATGTAAAGTTTTAGCTACACTCAACTAAAGAAGTCAGGAAACATGAAATTGTTTTTCAATAATTGAAATGCTACGTAATGTAGTGAGGAAAATTCATTGTATGCAAAAATGTAACGCATAGTGGGTGTATTGTCCGTCAATAGTTTAAAAATTTATCTTAGCTCATTTGATTATTTTATAATTATAACAATGTTTCCGAACTTTTTTGGTCGAATGTACATTCTATTTAAGATCTTCAGTAGAAGGCACGTACGTTACTGACACCAAGTAAAGCACATTCGATACCGCACTGACGTAAGTTGTATTTAAAATCCAACCCCACCCAATTAATCGTCCTTGATCAAGTTTTCAGACAAAGAAGAAAGTCTTGCTTCATTACTTGTTGGCTTATGGCGGCCGCAGGCGTGATTTGTCCCTTCCATACATCCTTGTCTGACATCGGAGTGGCCAGCTCCCTGACACCTGCTGCACCCATGTCCCTCTTCAGCATATCAACGCAGCTAGGTCTGGGACGTCATCTCCCGCGGTTCCCATGGCGCGGTTTCCTCAATACGAGCTTGTGCGTGCTCAACTCAGGGTGGCAGTGGCCTGCGAGCTGTGCAGTTTCTTTGGCACAGTCTTATCGCTGACTGCAGGTAGCTCACCATACAGCTGTTCGTTTGTCATGTGAGTTTTATTGAACGTAGAGGACTTTCCTAACCATACGTGTGTATTAGTATAAAATTGCGGGATTTGGAATTGTAATAAACAGTTGGACATGTGTTGAGAATACCCACGAAATATGACTACTTTAAAAAACAAGAACACATTTCCAGAGGTAACTACGATAGGTTTTGCTGCATGCAGTGTTTGTATAAAATAAAATTGATGAAACTAAAGCAGGAAAATTACAAGAAAGGTAATCCAATCCGACTGGCTTGTAAACTCAAGCTGTATTTAATCCGAGAATCATTCTTTACAGTTTGTGGGGTTTTTTTATGGTGACAGAGCAAAATAATAATAATAATAATCAGTTTTGATTCCAGGTACTTTTAACCAAACAAAGCTCTCATTAAATTTTAAGAAATACCATACATTTTGTTATTACACAACTTTTTCATACAAGTACTAACATAGCCCATTAACTACCATTCAGCAAAAACAAAATTAATAATCAGATAATAAAATAATTTTATTGACTTCTCAAATTTTCAGACAGCTATTGGATCTAACTGCACCTGACATAAAATTGGTCTACAATATAACTGATAAATATTTCTATACTATTATGTTAAAAAGACCATAAGATCTCAGACTGGAAATATAATCACTCAGCTCACAGAGAAAAAATATTCCTGGTACATTAGTTGTTGACATCATCAATTCCATACTTTGTATTTCCAAAGAAATCATGTTCACATCAAATTTTAAGAGACCAGAATTCAAGATAGACGTTGTATTCTAAAATCTGCAATACAGCAACCTTCTTACTTGGGTAAAAACAATAATTGCAGAACAGTATTGTTTTCCTTATCCAACATACTTACATGTCAATCTCAAAATAACATGGAGAATATTTTGAAAAAAAAAAAAAAAAAAAAAAAAAAAACATTTGAGATACAACACAATCTAAACTTCAACCAGTATTTGTTCACAAGGTTCCAAGAGAAAGTCTTGCACATTTTCCAAATTTGTCTTTACCATTTTGACAATCCCTTCACATGTATGACAAGGAAACAAGCAAATTACTGGGCATGTTATGAGTGAGCTGGTCACCTGGGATTTTTTCTATATTTCAAAAACTCCCCAGATCATGGAAGGTTGTTGAAAACCTTGTAAAATACAAAATTCAGTGATACTTCCATAGAAGGTTCCATAGTGCTTAAAAGGAAATGTTCAGTGTGCGACATAGTTTTTGCACAGTATTGTCTAGTCTTTTATTTTCCATTCAAGGGTGCATCAATCATCTTTATCCTCATCATTTTGATTGTGCCACGTGAGTCGCTCCTCATAGAACTGAATTACAATCTGTGGGCACTTTACATTGGCTTGTCTTGCTGGAACCAGATCTGCCTCGTCACAGTCTTTCCTGGAATTTATTATGCACTGTCAATAAATATCATTAAATTAAATGACACTGTCACGGCTGAATCCTTCATCCAAATGAAAAATTCCTAGAGTATGTGTAGCTATTGCATATTTTGTCTTCATCAAATCCTTGAAATACCAAAATGTGTTTTTCTTCATCCGAATAATATTTCATAAGTTATTTTGGGGATACTTGCTTGTTAAGATTTTCAGAGTTAAAATGCAGGGAAATTACAATAAAAGAAGAAAAAGTATCGAGTTGCTAAAAAAAAATATAGGCAGTATGCAAAAGATTACATATTAGATATAATATTTTAGCAGCTAAAGGACCATTATAAAAATCAAATTTGCCACTGCGTATGAAAGCAGATACAAAGTCTCAAATCAAACCAAAACATCATTTAGCAAAACATGCATATAAATGAAGCATTTCCCAAAAAAATGCAACTCTGTCCAGTCTGACTTAAAAAAAAAATCTTTAGAACTTACTTCCCCCCTCTTCTTTAAACATTTCAACATAACAAAAGATATATCACTGAAGATACTATCCTACCATTTCATTAAAAACATGAGTTCCCCACTGCTGTCTGTGGCACCTATGATCCTCTCAGGCTGCAGACCTCTGTCAAATCCTCGCGGCTTGTGTTCTTCTTCCTGTGATCAAAAAGCAAAAAATACATTAAAAAATTGCCATTTATATCTGACCTCATGTCCATAATTATCCTGTCACTTGCAACATATGGTAACTGCTCACAAATTCCAAACACTCAACTTCTTTTTATATCACTTCTTTACAGATTAAATCATTTTAGATATTTCAAATAAATAAAAACAATGAAAAACATTAATTTCACTTTCAGTTATCAATGCCAAATAAGCCCATACCTGTTTCAGGGAAAAAACATTGGACAAAAATGTAAATTTCTTAACATACCTTTGACTAAAAAATGTACAATATTTCACGAGCAGCAACTACTAGTAAATCTATGACTGATGTAGCTAAAAACATCAAAGACATTCTGCTAAACTTTTGATTGTTCTGTATCAAGCAAAATCAACTGTTTGGTTGAAAGGAATTACATAATTTAAAAAGTTGTCTCGGGTCAACTGATGGTACACACTTCTGTTTTAAAGTCCTCTGTTTGAGCTTACAGCATCCACTTTCTACAATCAACTTATGATTTATTACAGCTGGTACTATTTTATGTGAAATCTCTGCTTTACCAGCCAAAAGAAATTGTGAGCCCTGATAATGCAAAACTAAATCCATTAACCACTGTGTTAATTGTCTTACCATAATGAAGTTCTACACAACACAAATTTTTTTTTAACGAACTGGGATATCACACATACTTCTGCCACTTTTTTCTTCTTTTTACTTGTGCCTTCATCGTCATCTCTGTCCTCTGCCTTTTTCTTTGTGGCTTGCTTTTTCTTTTTATCGTCCTTTTCTTTCTTTCTTTTTTCCTCGTAGTCTGCTATAAGATCTGGACAGTCCAAGTTATTTTCTGGCTCCCAGGTGTTCTCTGAACTGTAAAATATAAAATTGTTTTTCTTCAAAAACCAATCAATGACTGTAAAATTCCACCAGTGCAATCTAATTCTGCATTGCATGTTTGGAAATACAAACAAATTCAAAAACAAAACAAAAGGTGTGGAGCTACTTGCTGCTTTCCTCAATTTTAAAAATCAAAGTCTATTGCTTCACAATGGAAAAATTTTATGTCAAATTGTGCCATTATAAAACAAACTGTTGCTTCGCCAGGATTTCACTCATGCCAACCTGTAAAATTGGTCAGCCAAATGCTAAATATATATATATATATATATCCCTTCAGGAATTTAACATATTGATAATGATGAAATTTTCAGCTACATGAATAAGCCCAAAAGGCCTTGCTAGATGGTCACATGGTAAAATGAAAAACCTTAGGTAAGGCAGGAGTTTGGCACTGTGCCCACTACCAAATGTCTTTAGGCAAGACAATAGACCCCTAATGCCTCCTTTTACCTAGTTGTACAAATAGGCACTACCTTGATATCTCAAAAAAATGCCTGCCATAGGCTGGCACCCCATGTAAGATGTGTGAAAACTGAAATAAGCACTAACCAGTATAAGTCCTTGTGATACTGATTCATAAGTAGTAGAACTAATCAATTTGACTTTTTCATTCATAGTGTAAGTGAAAATGGGGACAGAATTCCACTCTTTCAAATACATATTATAATTTAATCATGTACTTCTAAACTTACTCAGGATAATTTTTCCACTTAATCAAGTACTCTCTCTGTCCTCCTCGTACCCGTACATCCACCACCCTTTCCACTTCATATTCTTCTTCTTCCTCTTCTTCAACTTCAGGGGTAGGTGGGTCCTCTTTTTTGTCTTTCTTTCCCATAGCTCTGGAAAAAAATAAACCATGATTCGACTAAACTGGTGAGTCCATGAGAGACAGAAAGAAATTATTTCTAGTTTAGTATGACTAAATTAATTGTTGATTTTAAAGGAAAAATTTGCAGGGAATGTGTAGGCATAAATAAACTGAAACATATATGTGCATCATTATATGAAGAACTCAGGATGAGCTGCTTTGTATTCTGTAATTGAACATTGAAATAATTAACAATGAAATGTGATTACGGGAAAAATTGGTTTAGTTTAGGAATGAAAATCCACCAGTTACTGGGCACATGTTAACAAACTTATGAGATGTCTATATATATCTACAAATTCAACTTTGGGCTTTTGTACTAAGGACAATGTTTTGAAAAGTACCACCCTGAAATTATAATAACAATCAATCTAGTAATGACTAATTTGGACCATGTTACCAAAACACCAAATCCACTAAAAATATATCTACTTTGATCTACTCGCTGTAGGTTCCTTTTCCATGTTTCTAAAACGAGAAAGAAGGTTAGAAAAGTTAGCTAATCACAGCATGTGGTAAAGAGAAGCAGAAAAGACGCACAGTAAGGTGTCAAATAAAGTGCCCATGTAAAACACAAAACATCATTGGCGTGATTTTACATGAAATATTTAATTTTGAACCGATTAATTTTGACATGTTAGTGCCACGAAAGCTACATTCTTTTTACTATGGTCAAACACCCTGATAAGTCAAGTTTGAATGTGATGTGGTACGGTCACTCAAGGAACCAACTAAAGCTAGGAGAGTTCAATGGGGATCATCCGAATAATTAAAGAATTATCAGCACTGCATAATATCATACAAAACTACAAAATTAATAAGAATCATAGCGAGATGTAGTTTTTTGGTGGTAAGGTTGAAACTTTGTGATCATCATCTTAGAAAGCAGTACAACAGTGACATGCAAAAGGTGGTGACATTAGAACTGTTCTGCAGTAGACTGTATGTAACCTAACAAAGGACAAGGAAAAAAAAACAATATCCATGAATAACTGGCAGATTCTAGTCGTTGCTCTACTACACTCACTTGTCTGCTGTTATTTCTGACCCCACTCTCATCCAAATCCTGTGAAATCTCGTTTCAAATATTGATATTTGAGCAAACATTTTGTTTTCATTCTGAGCCATATATACGCCTTGGTTTCTGCCACTCATATAAATACCTATGCATTGGCACACACAGCATTTATATATCATACTATTATATATTGCTATAACACTTGGGGGAACTTTTACAAAATGGAGGGACAGATACAAAAGTCTACCTTCCAAACAAAAATCTGAAAGGGCAGTTGTAAACCTTTTTTTTTTGACTGACCAAGTGATTAATTTGGCTTATCTTTTGGAATGCCAACTATGTATGAATTGTATAAGAAACTAGTAGAAGCATTTTATGTGGGTTTCTGGGAATTTACACTAGCTTCACAGGTAACTTTTGATGAAGTTGTGAAATCATATGAACTAGATATCTCGAATGATCCCCACTGACAGATTCTGAATTCCTGATATCAGAAACAGATAGGGTGGAAGGTAAATGGGATAGGGGTAAGTTCAAATTGATGATAAACTTCATATGTACCTTCCTTTCCAATATTATTGCTATTCAGATCAAACTATGAACCTGATCAAAGGCAGCGGCGCTCGTGAATAGAGAGCAAGTCTGTTCTAGTTTTTAAAATCCAGTACGTCCAATTTTGACTCCCAGTGACACGTTGCTCAATCTGTGCTCTGTAAATGTAAGGTGAAAACATGTCAAAAGCAGAAGAGCTGCTTAATCTTATGTGCTTTCAAAATATGAAACTGACAACATTGCTGAAGACCACCTGCGCCAAAAGGCAACAATGGATCGTCAAGTTACAACTTGTACACATGTGCATCACCATTTAACTCGTGAAAACGACTTTTCAAAAAAAGGAAAAAATCATTTAAATAACGCATATATTGTTCTTAGTTAATATAAACCTAAATGTTAAACTAGAACAATATATTAAACATGCAATGTACCTGATTTCGGCGGTTCTTTCTTATTGCATACAGCATACAATGAAACACCCGCCAAAGTGGAACCCTTCGCGCTTGCGTGCACTGAGCATACGGGCACTTCACATGGTAATCTGTGCACTCGGGTCTTTCCGTAACAGTTTTATTTTAAAAAATGTAACAAATGTGGTCTAACATGTACCAAATTTCATTCACCACAAAAGACCATTTATTCTTAACAAGCTCAAGATTATTATAAGGGGATTATTACCATTATTATATTTTCATATTACCCCGGAGATTACCGAGCCATTTGAGTCACGTGACATTTGTAAAAATCCAAAGCGTGCAAAATGCCGGAGGTAAGTGAAAGGATTTTTTACGTTCAAATTTCTGCTATATAAAGCTATGATCTTAGTAATATTTATGTTAAAGGAGTTGATTTGTGACTCAATGCATAATACATTCCACTTAAAGTCTGCAAATAAAGTATTTATTTGATAAATAGGGTTTATATTGCGACCGGCATCTTGTTCCTTATTTGTTCTTTGTCTAAGCAAGTGCGTTTTCTATAATTTTAATTTTTTGACCAGTTCTTTTGGGTTTTGACGTTGTTCGTAAATATACTCAAGCTGGAATCGAAAAATTTGTTTTGATTAAAAAATTATAAATAATGCTTTTGCACAAATAGGGATATCAGTTAATTATTTCAAACATTCACTTACTGTAAGGATTTGTGATTCGTTTACTGGATATTCTCGTTTGAAAAAAGCACCATGCAATGGGCAAGCATAGAAAGTAAAAACCGTGACTCAGCTAATAAGTTTTAGATGCCTTCTTATCTAATTATAAGATGCGCCAGTCATGGGGTTGAATTTATTTCTACAGGAATAGCACATTCTGCTTAGATTTTTTTTTTTATTGTGCAATCCAATGGGTTGGTAATAATCCTTATTTTTGGACCCCTGTTGTGCTTTATTGCACTTTTCAGAATAGCCACATATTTTCCTTACACATTAGCTTTTTAGAAAACTTTTTTTATGCATATTAATGTTGTTCTCAGGACTAAATAACAGTAATGCTTATTTTCCAGACTCAAAAGGACCCTATTACCATTTCTGTCTTTTCTTAACTGAAGCCCAAATGTTGTAACATCAATTCCTTTGTTTTTGTATTTCCTAGGATTGCAGATTTGAGCAGGAGTTTTTTACGTTGTTTTGAAAACAGGTTGAACTAATGAAAAGAGTTACAACAAATCCCATCTAAGGTCCATAAAATACAAAAAAGATGTAAAATGAATTTTTATATGTTTATGTCTAAAAACTTGTCTAAATTGTTACCCATTGTTCCAGAAGGATAGCGAACCAGAACAGTTCAGAAAAATTTTCATTGGTGGTTTGTCATACGAAACCAATGAAGATGGTTTAAAGAAACATTTTGAAAAATGGGGCAGAGTTGTAGATGTGGTGGTCATGAAAGACCCGCGATCTAAAAGGTGAGGTGTATACTTGTAGCATTAAAAAAAAAAAAAAATTATCCAATGCAAATTATCTAACGGCATGATCCTGTATGTATGCAACTCTTTCTACCAATGTTGGTATTAATGAAAAATTCCGATAAGAAGGGAATTGCTGATTGGTATAACTCTTACTTTCCAGTGTAAAAAAGGGATGGTTTAGTGCACTCTGATATCATATCATTCTTTTAAACTATTGGGCAATTAATTTTTCATGTAAAATCATGCTCAAAGGCAAGTGATAAAAATGTTATGTGTGCTTTTGCATGGGTTTAAATTCATCTATTGTTGTTATGTGAAATATGCCCAAAGCTTGTTCAATATATGAATGTTAAGCTTAAATTTTACTATTCATAAACTGTTTATCAAAAAAAAAAAAAAAATTGGGGGGGGGGTAAAAGTGCTGAAATTTCACATTTCATTTTTCAATAACATTCAATATTGTTGTACCAGGTCACGAGGTTTTGGTTTCATTACGTATGAGAAGGCAGAGCAGGTGGATGAAGCCCAAGAAGCCAGACCACATAAAATAGATGGCAGGGAAGTGGAGACCAAGAGAGCTACACCCAGAGAGGTACAAACAGCACTGATTTGAACTTATTTATGATTTATTATTTAATTGCATAAATACAGTTCCATACTCAAACTGCCCTTTGAGCTTCAACATTGTCTATTTACAGTTGTCTAATGTATTACAGATAATACATTCATGCCATGGGTGAACTGTGTATGTAATTATTGGTGAGATAGTGCTTGTGGAAAAATATCAGTTTTTGTTTTACCTGTGTTATCTTGAAAGATAGCAAGCGTATGCTTGGAGTTATAAATATCAAGAAGGATAAAGGCAGTATGCCATTCATATATTTATAATTGAATTGCTACGTATCTTAAGTGTGTATGTTTAAAGTGTATGGTTTTCTTAGGATTCAGGCAAGCCAGAGGCCCAGGCAGCCTCCAAAAAGATCTTCATTGGAGGTTTGAAGGAAGAGGTGGAAGAGAAACATCTCAGAGATCATTTCTCAGAGTTTGGGAATGTTGAATCTGTGGACATCATTACAGACAAGGACACCAAAAAGAAGCGAGGGTTTGCCTTTGTCAGTTTCAATGACTATGACCCCGTGGATAAGATAGTGTGTAAGTGGGACATATTTTTATTTCTTTGAAATGAAGAAAAAGTTTCACACAAACGCAAACTTTCAAATAAATTAATAAGTGCTTGTTGAAGTGTCACAGAATTGAGTTGATGTGTTTGGATGACTGATAAAAAACATGTTTGAAAACTAAGTTCAGTTTGTAGGGATGCCTGAAACAAGGAATAGCATTTATTGTAGAGTTCATTTTTTATCCTGCTGCACTTGTTTATCTTTCAGTGAAGCGTAATCACACTATCTGTGGCAAGAGCTGTGAGGTGAAGAAAGCTCTGTCTAAACAAGAACTACAGGCTGCCAAGGAGCGTGCAATGGAACGCAACATGGGCGGCGGAGGCGGTGGCATGGGGCGTCATGGGGGACGTGGAGATTTCCGTCAGGGTGGAGGAAGGTTTGACAGAGGAGGTAATAAATTATACGTAAAAATCTTTCCAAACAAGTGAATGCAGGGCATTTTTATACTTATGTGCCTTTGGTACTTGCCAAAGTAACTTTATTTATAATGACAATCCATTATTTGACTTGTTGTTTGTATTTGGGAGCACCATATGATGAAGAGACTTGGGACGTAATCATCATACTTCAGTTGAAAAGCTGTTGATGACATCTACTTTTTTCTCTGATGATGTATCCCCAATGAAATATCAATGCAATATTGTAGATTATGCATAGATGTTAATGTTTTTAAATTTTACAATTAAGCTGGTTTTGCCAGAACAAGATTATGCTTGAAATACGTAATATGCTGTCAGATTTGTCCATTTATCTTTTGAGTAATTAAGTGGAAATAGTACGAGCTGATTTATGAAAATGTGATCAATTTTTGATTGAACATGTAGCCTCTAATATGTCTATAAGCTTTTCATTAATTTTTTTAATGTTTTTGTGTGGTTAAAGTGATACTGTTGATCAATTAAATGGAAATTTCAGTATCTGTCAAACTAAAAAAAAATTGTAAAATTAAAAACAAGTGCCTTGACAAGTGTTTTTATGAAAAATGACACTTTTCACAATTTTTCCCCAGGTGGCCGCAACTTTGGTGGTGGCGGCGGCGGTGGAAACTTCAACAGTGGTGGCTACGGAGGTGGCGGTGGAGGATATGGTGGCGGCGGAGGTGGTTATGGAGGAGGTATGTATTGCACCAGTTCATCGGGTTGCACAAGATTTTCAATGCATTTATATGTGTTTGTGTGTGCGCTAGATCTGTAATTGACTAGGCAAATGGTTTTTAATATTCAGTATAGTTTGTTTTGCCAATAGATTAAATTCATTGGTCTAACCCCATTATTAATCTGGCTTTGGACTTTTCTATTGCTGTTTAAAACTTGGTACTACTTCTAACAAATTAGTGCTTTCACAAAGTGGATATTTCTTTGCATGTCTTGGTATGTAAGGGGTTGCTCTTACTCACTGTTGTGGAATATTTGTTAACATTCTGTGGTGTGGAAGGTCTAGATGCTCACAGCTGCTATTTAGAGATAGCTTTGGGTTTACATCAGGTTGCCAATGCTGGGGAACTTTGCTGAGATCCTAAGTTTAGTTTTGATCTGCTGTGGTCAACCAAACTGGGGCATCTTTGACAGGCTTTGTCTAGAGTGATATGGTTTTCATTTGTGGGTATTTCACTTGTCTCTTTACTCACGCTGTAGTTTTTTATTGTAGTTTTCAACTCTTGCTTTGAGTTTTCTGTAGCAACTGTAGTCTGTGGGGCTTTCTTTTATAAATGTGTCAGCCTTACCAGTAACAAGAGTGGATGGAATTGTATGTGATCTTTGCTCTCATGGCAGAATCTATCTAGATTTAGTGACTGTAGAATAGATTGCTAACATTAAGTCCAGACCAGTTGGAAGTTCAGGAAGTTATCCAGTAATTTTGGTGGTCCTTTCTCACATTGTAGCCTGGTTTGATAAGAAATAGTAACCACTCCTGCAACAGCTTGTAGTTATTTCCAGTATCTGACCTGGTTCTTTAAATGCCCTTTTCACACAAAGTTTTGCTGTGTATAGACATTCCCTCCGGATTCTTGCAGGGTCTGATAGGGGCAATTGGCAAGGGGGCAGCGGACGGAACTTTGGGGGCGGAAGTGGCGGAGGAATGATGGGAGGAGGCGGAGGAGGAATGATGGGTGGAGGAAACATGGGCGGTGGCTTCGGAGGAGGAGGCTCAGGTCAGTATGCGGTTTCTCTCTCTGTGTGTTAGCGTAGTGTGATTTCTTTGGTGCACATCTTCTTTTTGGCCTCCACGGTCAGGTCACTACACCTAGGTGTTATATTAGTCAGCATACTGGTAGAAAGAGCTCTTATTAGAATGGGACACAGTATCAACTTTGACAAAGTTTGTTGTGTGATTTTTACATTTTTTTTTTCTATTCATGTATATCAAATTTAATTATATCAAAATGCTTCAGAATGTGGTCAGGATATTTCCCAATTGTTGGAGTGTATAGGTGTGAAGTGCAGGCTGAACCTAGCAAGTTAAATTGGTTATTTAGGCAGTAAAGGCATTAAGTTTCAGGAGGTTGACTTAGATGTGAAGACTTTCTTTGATTAAACTGTTGGCTTTAAAATCTTAGTTGTCCATGTACAGGAATTATTCAGGGTTATTTAGTCAATTCTGGTTAGCGTAGAAGCATGTGTTGTTATGGAGAGGTGAAAAACAAATTCTGAGATTTTGAATTTTTGACTCTCAAAGTATTTTCGATTAAAGGTATAGCGTGCAATTTGCAATTTCATATATTTATATGTTACAGGTGGAGGTGGCAACTACGGCAGTGGAGGTGGTGGCTACGGCGGAGGTGGCGGCGGCTATGGAGGCGGCGGTGGTGGTTACGGAGGTGGCTCTGGAAGTTATGGCGGCAACCAAGGAGGTGGCTATGGCGGGGGGCAACCAAGGTGGCTACCAAGGAGGTAGTCAGGGTGGCAACTATGGCGGCGGGCCAGGGGGCTATGGTGGCGGTGGCCAGAGCGGAGGATTTGGTGGAGGCGGTGGTGCCAACAACTATGGCGGTCCAGGTGGCGGCTACAGCAACCAAGGTGGGGGCTCAGGCAGTTATGGAGGTGGCAACTTTGGCAGCAGTGGAGGGCAGGGCAATTTTGGAGGTAGATGAAAGAAAAGTGGTTAGCTGTAGTTAGTGGGTTGGTAGTTACGAATTACATTTTGATTGACAGCGTTGGTTTGCTATAGCCAACATGGTGCTGATACTGCATGCCTTCCTTGCCTACAGTATTTGTAAGCCAGATCAATTTTCATTTACCTGCTGTTTAAGAACTTACTTGACAATTAGTTTATTGTTTGGATTACAGGTAGAGGAAACAAAACTAATAAATTTTTTTAAAAATGTAATCAAGACAGTGTTATGTTCATTTGGACTATGACGTTTGTGTTGGCATGTTTTCTTTTAACTTTTCCAAAGTTCTGTACAGGTTGCTAAGAAAATTTTTGGTCAGCTTGTAGATGCAATCAGATTTTAGTGGTAACTGATAATGAATAGGATGCTGACCTTTGAAATTATCTTAATGCAATATTGCCCTTGATTTTACATCACAATTCTAGAATTGGCAGAATTTGAGTTGCTGGCTTATATAAAGCCAGAGAGACCCACTTTAACTAGGACCTGCTTTGATGTGTAATTCCTCTTTGTTTCTACTACTTCTTTGTTGATGACTGCTTCAGGTGGCGGAGGCGGGCCCCAAGGTGGCTGGGGCGGAGATTACGGCAATGGCAGAGGTAGTGGCGGCGGTGGCTACGACAACTACAGTCAAGGGGGCGGCGCCATGAAATCTCAGAACTACACACAGAGAGGATCAGGTCCCTATGGCGGTATGGCATAATATCTGTTTCTTGTTAGGAAAGATTGGGATAAAATATTCTCTCTTTGTTTCCAATGCAAGTGGTAAAGAAAGCAGTCTTACTTTCAGTTTTAAGTTGGTTTTCCAAAGGTAATTATTGTTAAATGACAGTCAGGGAAACCTGTTATAAAAGCACACATTTCATAGTTTATGTAAATTATTAACTTAGGCGAAATGAAATGCATTTTTTTTTTTTTTTTTTTTTTTTTAATTTGATTTG